CCCGCCCCCCTCACCCGTTCTTCCTCCCACCTATCCCCTCCTCCCACCTCAAGCCGCACCTCCATCTCCTACCGACTAACCTCATCCCACCCCCTTGACCTGTCCGTCCTCCCTGGACTGACCTATCCCCTCCCTAACTCCCCACCTACACTCACCTTTACTGGCTCCATCCCCGCCTCTTCGACCTGTTTGTTTCCTCTCCACCTATCCTCTCCTCTATCCATCTTCTATCCGCCTCCCCCTCTCTCCCTATTTATTTCAGAACCCCCTTCCCCTCCCCCTTTTCTGATGAAGGGTCTAGGCCCGAAACGTCAGCCTTTCTGCTCCTATGATGCTGCTTGGCCTGCTGTGTTCATCCAGCCCTGCACCTTGTAATCTCAAAAGCCTACCAATCTCAATGCTCCTGGAAATATTCACTGTAATGGCTACAACATTCTATTATCCACTCTTAGCAAATGACTCAAAGACTACTCTGTATATTTTTTAACATCTTTTATCCTTTTTTAAACGTTTGTCTTTTTGAGCTCTCCTCCCTGTGCATGTGTGTGCTGTGTAATTTCTTCTTGTGTTTAGTAACTAACAAACTTTGTTGTTAACTCATGAAATCCTGATTAAATTGGCTCCTTGTAAAACCTAAATTCCTTGTCAAGGAGAAAGATATCCACAAGGAAGGAAACTTTTTAAATTAATCTTATTATCCTCATTAACCTGTCACCCTCTTGCAAGAATACTCTGCCTCAAAAATATTTAAGGACTCTGCTTCCATTGCCTTTGAAGAGGCTAGAAAGTGGCATAGCCCCATCCGAGAAAAATAAGTGCTCTTTATCATTGTGGAATAGGCTAGAGGGATTGAAAATCCTGCTCGTATTCCCGTGTTCCTATTGTCTTTAATTGGCAATTCTTTATTAATTATGGACTCTCATAATAGGAAACATCCTTTTACATACCTCTTATCATGACCACTCAGGAGCATATATGTATCAGAGAGCACCTTCTAAACCCAAGACCACTTCCATTGTGGCAGACAAATGCAGCAGATATATGGGAATACCACCACCTGTAAGGTCCCCTCTAAGCCACTGACTATCTTGACTTGAAAATATATCACAGTTCCTTCAGAGTCACTAAGTCGAAATGCTGGACTGGTAGAGTTTAGACTAGGAAACTCTATTCCTATTGATTTTTTTAAAAAATTTGTTCATGGGATGTGGGCAGCCCTGGCTGGGTCATCATTTATTGCCTATCCCAAGCTGCCCTTGAGAGAGTGGTGTCAGGCTATTGATCAGTGAGTCAAGGTCAGGCCATATTCCTGAATACCCCAGTGAATTGGAGCCTCAGCTAAACTGCAAAGGAGGTGGGATGT